GGCTCCGAGCAGCCTAAAACCATCTCGGTTTCCCCGTGCCTTGCTTTAGAGGGACTGGCACTCTCGCCTCCTAACAGGGCCGCAGGCTTTTGTGGAACAGATGAGAGAGGCAACTTTTCAGCTCCACAGACATTGCCTTGGACAAGCTGTTTCACCTCAGCAACAGGGCAAATTACCTTCTAAATTTGGGGAGGGGGATATTTGTTTAATATGAAAAATGAGGACTCAACCACCACCCACCTGAGAAGGCTATTGTGAGAGTTGCTTAGGATCACATAAAGAGAGGGGCGCCCGGGGGGCTTAGCTCAGTGTCTGCCTTCGGCTCAGGTCATGATCCCAGGACCCTGGGCTGGAGCCTCATGCCGTTGTCCTGAGGCTCACTGCTCAGAGGGGAATGGGCTTCTGCCTCTGCCCCTCCCCACCACTTGAGCACACTCTCTCTCTCAAAAAAAAAAAAAAAAAATCTTAAAAAAAAACAAAGACCACGTCAAGAAAATCCAGGACACAGGAGAGCTCAGTTAGTGTGAGTCCCTTCTTCCACCCTTGCAAATAAACTCCCTCCACCTTCTCCTCTAACCTCTTTTCCCAGGCTCTTCCCAATATGATCAACTTTTTCTGCCCTTCCATCAGGATGGCAATTAGCAAATCAGCCTCTCTGTGAAAAGGAAATCTGCTTCCAGTCTACTCAAGGGAAGAAGACAGAGAAAAGGAACACTGGGGCTTCCTGCTGGGGAATATGGTCCATAATTGTGGACAGTTAACATGGGGAAGGGGAGGTAAGTATTAAACCCTGATGTCAGGGCAAACTGTCCACACTGATAGCAATTACGTAAACACACACTCACTCACACACACACACACACACACTCAATCTCAGTATGGCCCTAAGAGCTGGCTCACATTTTTTATCACAGCCCTTGCTAATTATTCTACCACCGTCTGTTTATCTGTCCCCTACTCCCTAGTTCGAGAGCTCCTCAAGGACAGAGACGGTCTTTCTCATCTCTGTAGCCCTCATTCCCACCTCAGTGCATGCCCCTCAGTGCATACTATATAATGATCAAATACTGAAAAGAGTGAAAGAAAACCTGCTTATCCTTGGCATGCCGCAGAAGAGTAAATTTAGTCATTTGTGTGCACGGTTCCCATTTACAAACAGTTACCATGCCTAACATTAGAAAGTACCTCTACTGGTAACCTAAAATTTGGAGGATACCGTGTTCCAAACCTTTAATCCTGGCAATTCCTTGAGTGTGGCAAGAGACTCCCACCATGGGACAGGAGCACAGGTTACTATACAGAGCATACGTGTATAGGAGTAGATTTTGCAAATCCGTATCCCAACGCTATCTTACAGGTACGAATTAAAAGGTCTCCTCAGATATCCATTTCAGCCGAAACCCACTGTCCAGAAAGAACTGCTTATCCCTAAATACATAGAAAGACCATCTCTTGCCCTCCAGAGACATTCATACCTAGGATTCTTATTAGGTTCTTATTAGGAACTACATAAAAAGATGGAGAAATGAAACCAAAACCAACCACAAAAAAACTATCTATTAGATGCGATCAGAATCTGTGTGGGTGAGTTACCTGTGTGACATTTCTTAAAATGCTAAGAGGGCAAGAACCATGAGCTGTGTTCTAGAGTACACAGCTCCATTGTGGAGCTTGGGAAGCATGGGCAAAGCAAGAATGCATCTATTTAGTATTTGTCAAGCAGGCATTTGAAAGCCACACTAAAGGACCCCAGTCAGACCCGTTACTTCCTTCAGCTTATACATGAGGACTCTTGGTCCTCCTAAACATCAGCGGGGTCAGGACAGAAAACTGGACTCTGCCTGTGAGTCCCTCCTGCCTGCCAGGTATTAGGCTCATTCACGACATTCTATCAGTTAATCCTCACATCCACCCTGCCGGGCAGGGCAGTTTTATTCTCCCCGTTTTACAGGGGCAGACAGGAAGGCTTTGAAAAGGTAAACCCTGGGCTCTTCCCCCATCCTCTATCACCTAACGTCGCCTTGGAGAAAGGCAACTTTTTCCCCTCCAGAACGTCCCAGTAACTGAGCACACATTGTAGGTCCAAATCAAGAAGTTCTGTTGTGGGGCTACTTAGCGTCCCAGAGCAGGAAGGACGTGGATGCTGATATGGAGCTGGAATCCCCCTGGCACTGTCACCCAGGCGGGCCACTGGGTGCGCTCACACACATAGTCTCCATTTCTCAAACACCCTATTCCCTCATCCAAAGTCTGTCTTGCCAAAGACCCTTTAGGAGTTCAAGACTTTGCTGTTCAAGAACAGATCATACTCAGAATCCCTGGACCACTTCACAGGACTAGGGAAAAAATAGCCACAACTTCCCTTGCACTTAGTTCCTCTCCCAAAGAGCTGTTGAACCTCATCTGGAAACAGCTGGGAGACAGCAGTTCAACAGGAAACCAAACCAAAAAAAAAAAAAAAAAAAAAAAAGGCACAGAGTGTACCAGGGAGAGTTAGGCAGCTAGAACCAAGAGACAGGAAGCTGAGGTTAGAAAGAGCCTAGGCCAGAAACAGTCACGCAGAAGAGGAGGCCCTGATGGCCTTCCTCTAGGCCCAAGGAGAAAGAGAAAACCTGGAAAACAGCAGTGAAGGCTCAAACCCCACAGAAAAGGAAGTCAGACCACCAAGATCAAATCTGCTTCCCTCCCTGCCCCCACCTCAACCCTCCTTCTCAGGGAGAGCCAGCTAGTGGTCATGATAGGACAGCTGAGGTCAGAAACTCACTTCTGTTCTCCTGCTGCTTTCCGTGCCAGAGGCGACAGCCCAGACAACTGGTTTTGAGTCATTCCTCTGTCAATCTGTACCACAGCTCCACACTGCCAACTAAATTCAGGGACATTCAGATCAGCCTCACACAGAGAGACAAAGAGCGTCTTCATGAGCAATTACTAGGCAGATACCCACTGGAGACCTGCAGAGTGGCAGGACTTGTGCACAAGGAACTACAGCAAAGCAAAAGAGCCAGTGGGGCTGGAGGTCTTGAAGAGCAAGGTAAGGGTGCGTTTTGCAACCAAGAAACTTAATTGAGCAATGGCCAGTTGCCAAGATATTTTTGAAAGAAGTGGGGGAAAAAATGCCATTACTAAAATTCTTTGGTGTTATTTAATAATAAGCCTTTAGGTTATCCAAACCTAAAAGGGCAAAGGGAAGACTGGCTTATTTTTCCTTTAGCAGAGCTCAGGTAAGAGCTTTCTACTCATGCCTCCTGCGCCTTAATCATCTTTCTCTCCCAGTACATGAAGAAGTTTATATTAAAAGAAAGAAAAGGATTCAGTCCTCTTAATAAAACACATTCCTGTCTTTCACCTATAGTTTTGTTGGAAAAAGCTCTTGCGGCATATGCTACAATCTAGGTGGGTTTGATTCCAATGAAGCGCTCAAAATTCAAGACTGAGTAAGCAGAGCTAAAACAGGGCAAAAGGCTGCAATCTCAATACCATTAAAAGAGAGAGAGAACATCTTCACAGGCTCAGTGCCAGCTCAAACTGGCAAGACCAGAGAAACAGAGCAGAGCCTAACCAATGTGCCACGCAAGGGGGATGGGAAGAGAGCTCTGGGTAATCCACTGCAGCCATGTGGCAAACAAACCACCAGGGAAACCTTCAAGGGAGGAAATGGGGTGGGGGTGGGAGGGTTGTTTCAGGAACATAACAAAGGAACAAGTTGACTAATCATTTATTCCAGAGAGGGAGAATGCTATCCTGAGCCATGTTTTAACTTCAGGTGAATGTGTAATGTTTTTAACTTGGGACGTATCAGGGTTTAAAGGCTCTCCAAAAAAAAAAAAAAAAAAAAAAGAGGGCGGGGAATGGGGGGAACGTACCTACTTTTCTTTATGCTGTTTCTGGAGTCTCCTAGGAAACGTTCCCTGTGCCGCCTGCAGACCTGAGACAGCCAGAGCCAGTCCAGTTACCAATGCAATAACCCCCACTCAGCAGAGATCCTATCGAGAGCTTCATGCAGGACTGGACTGCTCTGCACTGCAGCTAGCCCAGAGAAGTTCTGTTGCTGAGGCAGAAGTCACCTGGCACAAATACCTAACATGCACACGGAAGGAGGAGAGGGCGGAAAGACACTTAACTCATGAGGGCCAGGCATATCTGTGACTTACAGGGGGAAAAAAAAAAAAGGATTTCTGCCCAGAGCTGGATCCACGTGTCAGAGTGGTGTCTGGGGAGCCTGCCCTCAACAATGCCATCTCCATATAGTGTTTCACGGCTGACCAGAGAATCTTCCAACTTGTCAGCGGGGGCAGACTGCACCTCCAACAGCTGTGGCTCTGAAAGTCTACCTAGGAGGCACCCAGGGTGGCCACGAAGGTGGGAGAGGGTCTCCCAATAACGTTGATGTGAGAAGACCCAGCCTCCCTCTGCTGGGACAATCAGAAAAGTAGCCAACATTTAAGGAGCATCTAACCATGTGTCAGGCACCGAAATAAGCACTACCTCTCTCGTTCCATTCCCCAAAATAGCCAATGGAGGCTGATACTACTGTCATCCCCCCCTTCATAAAGGAGGAAACAGGCTCTGAGATTGGACACAGCCATTAACTACTGGAACCAGCACTGAAGCCTGCCCTGGACAGGTGCTCTTACCTACTATCCGATATTGCTGGAAACACACAAAGCGTTTGGGGGAAGGGGTGGAGAGTCGAGTAACACAAGGGGCTGCCTGTATTTACACCCTTTTCGTGCCCCAAATCGGCGGCCTCGGGACCTTGGAAGGGAGGGCCTGGATGGAGAACGAGAACCGGAAGAACCCAAGCACTGCTAGCACGGGAAGAGGCCAGGACAAGGACCCCTCTGGCTTCCACGTAGGATCCCAGACCCAAAGGGGCAAGAACCAATGGGAACACGTGCAGCCCCGGGGTCCTCAGGCGCTCGAGCCCTCGGCGCCGGTTTTGTCAAAGTAGAAAGCTCCTCTCGAGAGGTGGGGCCGGCCCGGGGTCGCCAGGTCCCTACCTGTAGGCCAGGGTCATGCACTCGAAGAGTTTGGTGAGCGAAGCGTCGATGGACAGGTGGCAGGAGCTGGTCTTGCCGAAGCTATAGGTCTGGCACGTCTGCTTGTTGACCGTGTCGAAATCGTAGCCCTTCTTGGGCGGGTGCTCGCGGTGTGGCGACGACACCATGAAGTGGCCGCTGTGGATGATCTGCTGGCGGCGCGGAGGCTCCTCGCGGCCCGGCCCAGCCCTCGGAGGCGGCGGCGCGGCGCTCGCGTGGGCCCGGGCCGGGGTGGCCGAAGCGCAGGCGGGCGGCGGGGACGGTTCATCGGTGTCCGAGTCGTCGTCGTCCTCAGGCACCTGAGGCTTGAGCAGCACCGGGCGGCCCCGACTGCGGGGCCGCCGCGGGGAGCACATGAAGACGTCGGCGGCCATAGGGGGTGCCGTCTGGGGGCATCCCCCGGGGCTCCGGGCGACGCTGGCGAGCGAAGCTGACTGGGCGCCGGCCCGACACGGCCCGCGCGCGGACTGTCCGCGAGCGCGCCGCGGGGCGGGAGGGGGAGGGCGCGCGCCGACGGGGCCGCCTCGGCGCCGGCCCCGGTGTGACGTCACCGGCGCGTTTCGGCCAATCGGCTGCCCGCGTCGGCCTCTTAAAGGTGCAGGGGAGGCTTTCCGTATCTAGGCGGACAAAAAAAGCGCGGGGGTGGGGCGGGGAGGAAGGTCGCCGGAGGCCACGCCTGGAGGCCCCGCCCCTCGCTGCCCCTCGCCGCCCCCTCCGCTCGCGGGTGCGGGGGATGCTACGGGCCGCGGTGGCCAGGTGGTGCGGCTCGCAAGTGTCGCGGCCTTGGAGAGGCGTTGGCCAAGCGGTGCCGGGCCCGCCCCTCCCCGCTCTCCCCGGAATCGCGCTGCGGGCGGGGCGGGCGCTCCACGTGGTGGGTGGAGGTGGGGCTCCTTCCCCCTCTCAGACTCCGCTTTCTCTGGCTGGGCCTGGAACTGTGTCCTCGCAGCTGGTCCCCGGTGTTTCTGAGCACAGTGGTTATGATCTCCATCTTATTGATGAGAAGACTGAGTCTCTGAATATCAAAGGGATTTTTCTAACGCGGAAACAGGATCAAGAACGCTTCTCACTGAGACGTCATATCCACAGGGGTGGAAACTGGCTCTGCCGAGTTAAGGCACTCTGCGAGGGGCATCGCAATTAGTACGCGGTAGAGCCTCCAGCTCCTTTAACCCCAGCTACTGTCTTTTCAGACTGTTCAAATCTTAAATTTGGTGGGTGAACCAGCCCCCAGGCAATTCTGAAAGGGGAAATTCTGAGCCATAGTTTACTTCCCTTCCTAACGGAGCAATTCTATGTCTCAGAAAGTTGCGACAGTTAAAAATGATGATAAAGTGCCTCGCTTGGAATGAATGCTAAAGAATTGTTACACAGGGCGCCTGGGTGGTTCAGTGGGTTAAAGCCTCTGCCTTCGACTGGAGTCATGATTCCAGGGTCAAGGGATCGAGCCCCATATCAGGCTCTCTGCTCAGCAGGGAGCCTGCTTCCTCCTCTCTCTCTCTGTCTGCCTGCCTCTCTGCCTACTTGTGATCTCTATCTGTCAAATAAATAAATAAAATCTTAAAAAAAAAAAAAAAAGTTGTTCTACAGACCGAAGCAATGGAACCAACCAGACCAGAGGTACCTAGAAATTGCCAATACTCAACCATTTTGGACCTACAGAAACAGCAATTTCATATGGTTCAACCTAATAGTCAACACTTCGAGAAAGCTGTCAAGGTTTCGGGGACTCGAAGCCAGCCTGGGGTTGGGGGCTGTGTTGGGAAGATAGGGGATGACAGGGCATCAATAGGCCGAAAGAGGCACTTGGCCAAGAGGCCCCACTAATCCGTTTAAAGTCCTCCTCAGCTTCTGTGCTCTGCTTTGAAACCAGTTTCACTTCCAGATTTGGGTGGACGCTGAGCACCCTGCCCCGGCCTCCTCCTGACAAGGGCCTCCAGAAGGGCAGAGTGCTCAGAGTGAAAGTGAAAAAAGGGCTCTTAGTGGCCACACACCCTCCTTCCCCAGATGTCTCCAAGAAGGGATAGGCCAAAGGGACTGGCTGCTTCAAGTGGAAGTTTGAGGTCTTACCCCTTGCCCAAAGCAGCGCCCCCAACGCTGGTTGCAGATGTCTAAAAGGCCACCATTTGACTTGCCATCCTTCATCTGAAGGCTTTTCTCCTTGAGAAACTCTTTTTTTAAAGATTTATTTATTTATTTGTTTATTTATTTATTTGACAGAGAGCACAAGTAGGCAGAGTGGCAGGCAGAGGGAGAGGGAGAAGCAGGCTCTCTGCTGAGCAGGGAGCGAGATGCAGGGCTCCATCCCAGGAGCCTGAGATCGTGACCTGAGCCAAAGACATCCACTTAATCAACTGAGCCACCCACGTGCCCCAACTCCTTGGGAAACTCTTAAATGCCCAGCTGCATTTGATGACAATCCCACTTTAGAATTTGATCCTAAGATTGTAGCATCACTTATCAAGAGTGGAAATTAGAAACAATATAATGGGGGCACCTGGGTGGCTCAGTGGGTTAAGCCTCTGCCTTTGGCTCGGGTCATGATCTCAGGGTCCTGGGATCGAGCCCACATCGGGCTCTCTGCTCAGCGGGGAGCCTTCTTCCGCGCCCCCCACCCCCCGCCGCCTGCCTGGCTCTCTGCCTACTTGTGATCTCTGTCAAACAAATAAATAAAATCTTAAAAAAAAAAAAAGTACATAATGTCTGACAAGAGGGAATTCATTGAATATACTGTGGCCCCAAATGGAATAAAATGCTACATTTGGGGGGCGGGGCGCAGAGAGAGAAGGAGAGAGAGAATCTCAAGCAGACACCCTGCTAAGCACAGAGCTCCGAAAGAAGACTTGATCTCACAACCCTGACATCACGACCTGAGCTGAAATCAAGAATGGCAACTGGCTGAGCCACCCAGGCGCCCCGGAAACACGACATATTAAATGAAGCAAATACTACTGACATGGAAAAATGCCCATGATATGATGTTGGGTGGAAAACCAACTTTTAAAAAGTTATCAGTAGTTTGATATCAATTTCAAACAAATACTAACAAAGCATATATTTCTGTGTGTGTGTCAGAAAATGCACCATAATGTTCACACCGGTTATCTCTGGGTAGAGTGATTCTTATTTTCTTCTTTATGCTTATCTGTATTTTCTAATTTCCAAAAGAAATCTTTCTTACTTGTATACCTTTTTTTTTTTCAGTATAGTCTTTATTTCTCTTTGGTCTCTTAGCACAAAAGACATCCTTGTGGGAGGATGTATACTTTATTATTTTTTTTAATTTAAAAAAGCAAACATCAATTCCCTAGGAGGACAGAGCTTCTCTAAAGGCTGATGTTGCAAACTGGCAACCCATGGGCCATATGTGGTGCACAGACCTGCTTTGTTTAATCCACACCATCACTTAAAGACTATATTAGAGAGGAAAAAAAAAAAAGACTGGAGGAAAACACAGTTTAAAAGGCAGGAAGCAGTGAATTACAAGAGTGAGATCTGGAGGGCATAACAAGCAATCAATGGCTAGAGGGAGAAGGCCTTGGGGGCAGTTAACCAGGATATGGGGAAATGATTGCAGAGAATCTAGCCTGAGAGGCCCCCACCTTCCTTCCTGCAGAGTAATGAGCAGCAACAGCCACGTGCACAGAGGGACAGGCAGGGCAGTTCTCCAGGGGAGCTGACAACTCCCATGAAGGACAAGGGAGCTCCTAGACCCAGCAAACCACAAGAATACAGAACCTCATAAGGACAGCCATCTCTTCTCGAAAAATCAGAAGCATGCCGTTATAATCAAATCAACAATCATGCAAATAGGAATTCCCCAATACAGAGTATTACAGACCAGCAAAAGTCAGTCAGCAAGCACTTAAGGAAAGCCAGCACTCTGGAAGAAAGCTAGCTGAGAACTGACAAGTAAGGGGGAAGTCAACAGGACAAACAGAAGACTTTAGAAATAATTAATAGCCCTAGAAAAAAATGTGGAAGATTCTGTGCCCATCAAGCAAAAAACTCATTTTAGCTCATTTGTTAAAAAAAGCAAATAGAGGGTCCCTGGGTGGATCGGCGGGCTAAGCCTCTGCCTTCAGCTCAGGTCATGATCTCAGGATCCTGGGACTGAGTACCGCATTGGGCTCTCTGCTCAGCAGGGAGCCTGCTTCCCCCTCTCTCTCTACCTGCCTCTCCACCTACTTGTGATCTCTCTGTCAAATAAATAAATAAAATCTTAAAAAAAAAAAGGAAGCAAATAGAGATCTTGGAAAATAAATAAATATATGATTTTGAAGAGCTGAGTTGATAGCAAAATGAATATGGCTGGACAGCACAGTAGTAAACTAAAAAATTAAAACAGAATTTCTCCTAGAAATTCTAAAAGGACAAAGAGAAGGTACATGACATGGAGGATATATTCAAAAGCTCCAGCACCTGCCTAATAGTTCCAGAAAGAAAGAAGAGAGTGAGAGAGAGAGAGGGAAGAATAGAGGAAATGATTACAGCCCCAATAAAAGAAAAAGTTCCAGTGCTTAATGCACAGGCCTTCTCTATGGATCAGTATGGGCTGATTGTGGTGTGATAACAAACCACACCCAAATCTCAATGACTGAAAACCACCACGGTGTGTTTTTTGGCTCTAGCTACCTATCTATTGGCTACGCGTCCATCACACATCTCTCTGCTGGTTGCAGTCACTCAAAGGCTCGGACTATCAGAGCAGCCACCGTCCAAAATGTTGCCCATCGCTGCCGTGGCAGAAAGGAAGAGAAAACTAGGTGGGTCTCACATGAACAGTTCAATGGTCCAACCTGGGAGTGATACGTACATAATCACACGACTCATTGCCTGGAATGAATCACATGGCCTCACCCAAACACGAAGGAGCCAGGAGGCACAATCCCAGCGTATGACTGGAACTATGTAGTGCATGGCACTGATGAGTAATGATCAATTATATTTTTGGTTTCCATTAACGCGACACCATGGGTGGCTCTCAGAAGCATTATGCTAGGTGAAAGAATTCAGACTTAGAAGGCCAAATACTGTTTGATTCCGTTTATTTATATGACATCTGTAAAAGGCAAAATGATAGGGACAGAAAAACCAGATCAGTGGTTGCCAGGAGCTTGTGGGGAGGAAACTAACTGCAAAAAGGAACAAGAAAACTATTTTTGGTGTTGAAATACTCTCTCTTGTTTATGGTGGTGCTTATGTGACTGTGTAAGTTTCTCAAAAGTCATAGAAATGTATGCCTGACAAGAGTGAATTTTACTGTATGCAGTTTTACTTTAGTAAGTCTTGGAGTATAAGAGGTTAAATGAATGGTTTTTCGTCCACAGGATATTTGAAAGAATTACTGGAGGCTGTTCTTCAGCAACAGAAATTAAATTCAAGTAAATAGAGTATGCAAGAAACAGAGTAGAGCAAAAAATAGAACTTAAACTTAGAATTTTAAAATTATGACTTTAA